TGATTGTACTTGACTGCTGAACTGAAACCAGAACCTGGACTAGTTGAAGAAGTGCACCTTAGAACTAACTGATGGCTAATAAACCCCATTCTCAGTACCATTAAAAAACCAAAACAAACAAACAAAAAAACCTCAAAGCACTCAAGGAATCAAAAGATGTGCTATATTAGATATACATGTTGTCAAGGACTTCTTTAATGTGCTACAGAGCAAAAATATCTATTTAAAGATTAAGATGTGTCTAACTGAAGTCATGGTATTTTGGATTGCTCCATAAGCATATGGTAAGCATTCATAAGCATGGGCTGGGCTACGGGTTCTTTATCTGATTTCTGCTCTGGGATAGTAAGGGAGGGGCTGTGCTATTTTCACTTCTTCTGGCCTTTTCTCAGAAATTTGCATGGTGCTGGGCCCCCCTGTCTAATTTTTTATTCATTAGACAATTATGCTAGGATATTGTCATCATTGTTATTTGTACTTCTCAAATTTTTTTTATTCTCTGAGTTAAAAATCAAACCTAAATCAATCAAACTCATATAAAGCTCTGCAATAAGGATAGCCAAAATAATATTCTTTTAATATGAAGACAAATTAAGTAAACTACTCCTATATATTGATTATTTTAGTTAATTTAAAATCCATTGGATTAAATTAAACACATAGTTTGAACTTAATAAATATTAGTGAAACAGAAGGTTAAACAGATGAATGATATAAAATTAAAAATCCTGGGAGCAAATGAAGGCTAATTAGACTTATTCCCATAAATTTAGAATCATGTCATGGCTGATCCTCCAAAAGATTTTCCGAGGCTATATATCATAGTACATAGGTTCTGAAGAGCAATGGTGTCTCTCTGGAGACTAAGGTGCATCTGATACAGGCCACGATCTTTGCAATCACTTGTTATGCATCAGAGAGTTGGACAATGACTAGGGCAGATAGAAGGAAAATAGAGTGGTGCTGGAGAAGAGTATTGAGGGTACCAAGGACTGCTAGGAAAACAAACAGATTCATCCTGCAAAGTGTTAAACCTGGCGGCTCCTTGGAGGCAAAGATTCTGAGACTCCGTGTAACATACTTTGGACATGTTGTAAGGAGGGACCGGTCCTTGGAGAGGGACATCATGCTTGGTAGGGTGGAGGGACAGCGCAGGAGGGGGAGGCCCTCTATGAGGTAGATTGAGTCAGTGACCGGGGTAATTGGGATGGGTGTATCAGAGACAGTGCAATTGGCACAGGACAGAGCAGAGTTTAGGGCTGTTGTACATACATAGGGTCGCTATGTGTCGCAAGTGACTCGATGGCACATAACAACAACAACATATATCATAGTGGAGAAGGTTGTCCATTTTTCTTCTGTTTAATTGAGGATGAATTCAAACAATTATGGAGGTGTGAATTTTGCACTGGCAGTACAACCCTTGTGGATTATGCAAAACAACAAATAGTGGCAAGCAACAGTATAGCCACATATATCTCAGCCAAGAGTCCATTCCATTATCAACATTTTTTCCTTTTGTGTTTTTGTGGTAAAAAATGCTTAAAGTTTTTCTATGTGATTCACCTGTTTGAAGCCAGAATTTTATATAATAATATGTGCTCATATTTTAAAAAAATTATTGCTATTTAAATAAAAGTTCATAAAAAGATTGTGTTTTTGTTCATTCATGTTACACATTTCGCCCCCCTCCTATTCCTTCCCCTTCCTTAGTCCACTTTGTAATACATTCCTTGTTTCAGATTATTAACTGTCACACATATAATGTTTAATCATTCATTCCTTTCCAACACTTCTTCTGGTCATTTGTCCCAGTGCAGTTATCAGGGACTTAGGAATAAAACCAAAGACTATACAATTCATCAGAGAAAAAAAATAGGAATAAATCTATAAGCCTTAATCTGCAGCATGAACAGATTTTCAAGCATAATGAAAAACCTATAATCAGGAGAGAATGAAATAGCAGAATGCGGTCTTCTAAAAATTAATCCTGATGCACATAAAAAAAAACAAGGTAAAAAGGAAAGACATAGAATGGGAAAGAAAAAATATTTGGCAATGATAAGAGATTCATACATAAAATTTACAGAATGAATTTTAGCACCTCAAAAAGGAGAAGGTACCCCAATCACAAAATGTGGCCATAATTTTTAAGGGATATATCTTACTTTCTAAAACTCTCCCCATTGTTGTTGTTTTGTGTGCCTTTGTGTTGGAACAGTCTCATAACTCCTCCTCCAGCAGATTTTCAGAGGCAGTAAATTGCACAGTAAGAGACTGCTCATCCTTTTCCTGTGGTGTAGCTCGTGGATTTGAAAAGTAAGTCTTTGGGATATTGATTGCAGCATGCCTTTTTACCATGAGGCCACCCAGAGCTCATTATCTTTAACAAAATTATATTCCTACATAGTTTTTTTAAAAAGAAATGATATATATTTAGATTAAGGAAGGATCTTAACGATCATACACAATTTCATTTCATTCATTCTGGAGTAGAGGTTCGACTTGATGAACTATCTACAGTGAAAATGTCAGCTTCCAAATCTAGGAATAGGAATCACTTGAGAAGCTGGACTCTATAAAGAAGTAAAGGGCACCAGGATCAGAAGACAACTCACCAACAACCTGCATTTTACAGAGGACACAACCTTGTTGGCTGAAAGTAAGGACTTGTAATATTTACTGTAGAAGATCAATGAATACAGCCTTCAGTATGGATTACATCTCAAACTCAAGAAATCAAATATCCTTACCACTGGACTGGTGGACAACATCATGATATATAGAGAAGAAATTAAAATTGTCAGCTATTTTCTCTTACTGGGATCCACAAACAACACTATTGGTACCAGCATTCAGAAGATTAAGAGACATATTGCCTTGAGAAAGTCTGTTGTCACAGACTTCTCCAAATTGCTGAGAAACAATGATATGTATCAGTTTTAACTCAGAAGACTATGGTGTACTTGATTCAGGTTATAGTCTTTTCAATCACTTATTGTGCATCTGAGAGTTAAACAATTAATAAAGGTGACAGAAGAATTTATGCCAGTAAACTGTGGTACTGGAGAAGAGCACTGAAAGAGGTTGAGATTGAAAGACTCTATTCTTTAGACCTTGAACCTGAACTACACCATAAGTTGCCTTGTAAATATATGACAAATTGGCTCAAAAAATAATGGGCATTGCCAGCAAGTACTGTGCTCCTTAAAAAAAAAATACCAGTGTGAGACCAAAAAGCCCACACTTAATTGAAAACAAATTTGAGAACACAGGAGACAGGGGAATTAGATTAATGGAGATCAGGATGGAAATAAGAATATCCATATGTTATGGAGAGTGTAATCAATGCCACTATAAAAAATACTTGTGTAGAAATAGTTGAGTGGGAAGCTAAATTGTGTAAACCTTCACACAGCAAAATATTAACATTTAAGAAGGAAAAATATTAGGCATTATAGAAATGCAAATAAAACCCATGAAATATCACTGGTCTGGTTACTAATAGGTAAATGGAAAATAATGTGCTGGTAAGTATGCAGAGAAATTGAACCCTATATGTATTGCTGAAGGGAATGCAAAATGGGACAACTGCCGTAAAATTTTGGTGACTCTATGGAAAGTTAAACATATAATTAATTACCAGATCACTCACTAATTCAACTCCTAACTATGCCATCAAGTACACCCTGATTCACAGCAACTTTCCATTTTGTTTCTCTGGCTGTAGACTTTACAGTAGTTGACTGCTTATCGCTCACCTGTGAAGTGGCTAGCGGATTCAAACTGCTGCCTTTTCAGTTAACAGCCTGGCAGTTTACAAACTATGCCACCATGTATCTTTGTATATGAACATATTTACTAATGGAGATATTGAATGTGAAATTCCAAAGATCTGAGAATTTTATCCTCTAGCGTACCCTAGGCTGAAGTTCATAATATCTCTCTTATTTTTTTCTATTAGGAATATACTGAGTACACATCAGGTGTCAATTTTCCTGTATTTTCTATTCCTTTTCATTGTGCTGTTACAACATTTGAAGCTCTGTGGTTTTTGTTTTTTTTTTCTTCCCATGTGTTTCATTCAGTTGCACATAGCACAAAAGCACTGTGTTGGTTTCTAATTAACTGACTGCACCCTGAGGTCTCCTGCTTCTGTCTTCAGTTTAATTACAGCTGTGATGAAGATAGAGTAAAAGTGAAGAGTGTCTCTATGTGATATATATATATGTATATGTGTGTGTGTGTGTGTGTGTGTGTGTATGTTCTGGTTGAATTCAGGTCTCCAGCTTCTGTCTTCAGTTTAATTACAGCTGTGAAGAAGACAGAGTAAAAGTGAAGAGTGTCTCTATGTGAGATATATATATAAGTTCTGGTTGAATTCTTAGATCATAGTGAGTGTGAATGCCTAAGGATGGTTAAACTGGTATGG